CTGATGACCCCACAAGTAGTGTCCTTACCTCTCAGCGAAGAGGCCCTGGTTCAAATTCCATCTGCTCCAGATGTGTGTAATAACATCTCTGAACAGATTGATTAGAAAATATAAGAAAATGAATAATTGCTCCCTATACAGCCTGGACTCTGTACCTCTTTTAAGCTTTATGGCATTTCAGCAACTACAGCAAGCTCAATGGGAAGAAGATCAAGGGAGTGGAGGATGGGATTTGAAGACAAAACAAATTTTGCAAGACAATGAGGGAAGATATGGCAGAAATGAGAGAAAAATAAGCTCAGAACTATAGTCAGAAGAAACCTTGGAGGAGGTTTGGTACCATGAGCTTGAGGAAAGGAGGGATCTGGGCTTCAGCAGAAGGCAACCTCAACCTCAATCACAGGACAGTCTCAATCACAATGGTAAATGCAGGATGCATTGGGGAACAGCCATGGTGAGAGAGCGTGAGACAACAAGGTGTACAGCTGGATGAACACAGCAGGCCAGGCAGCATCAGAGGAGCAGGAAAGCTGATGTCTCGGGATTTCTGAAGAAATATCATGATGAACAGAGAACCACAGCAGAGGTATCTGAACTAACCTGAATATTGTTGAAGATTTCTATAAGTAAGTCGGTGAGATATTTTTCATGCTCAATTACACAAAGTTAAAAGAGAAAATTAAGTGGAAAACTGAGCTCCAAAATGGCAGCAGGAACTGATGCCATGAACTGCCATTCTGCACAAGTCCTGCACCATCTGCATATGTTAACACCATCACATCTCATCAGGTCAGGCTTGTACCAGAAGTGTGCACATGTGGCACTGCACTATAAACTGTGTACATTTTTTAATATTTGTTTTAAATTTGTATTAATGTCATTTGGGGTTTCTGTGTATCTGAAATTAATAAATAATTTGTAAATGTTTATAGCCATTGTGGTAGCTTTTAAATCAGTTTGAGAGAGCTAATTTTGCAAGATTAGTGGTTTTTGTTTACCTTAAGACATCTTACTACTTAGCAAAATAATCTGATGTGTTTTAAAGTCTGTTAGAAATTTCTAGACATAGAATTTGTTTAAACTTAGGGTAACACCATAGTTTACAGAAAGAAACTTTTTTTTTAAACATTTTTATTTTGTTTTGGGCAAGTCTGTGAAGCCCTTGGATGGAGATGGTTGTAGACAGCTGTGTTCCTGGGAAGGGGAGAAAATAATAAAACCAGATTAGAATAAGGAGTTAGTGATAACTTCAAACCGGATGCACTGGGATAAAACTCTAGAGGTTACTTGAAGCACAGTGCATTTAAGATCAGTTGTATAATAGCTCCATGAAGATGACATTACTGTTTCCAGTCAAGGAATTAAAGCCACAGTTACCTTAAGGCCATCGAGATGTTAAGAAAATATTATTTTTTTCCTCTAGTGTGAGTACTGTAAAAGAGGTACTTTTGGGTACTGCATAAGGGATGTTGTTGTTGAAACTTGTAAAGGAGTGTTTTATAAATGTTGGGATTATACTTTTACCACGTGTTTAAATTTTTTTGAATTTATAAACATCATCTCCAAGATGAGCTCTGTAATTGTAAAGCTCTTTGAAGAAAAATCAAGAGTGCTGATTTAATGACATACTATGTCTAATGCATAGAAAGAAAAATTATGAATCTTGAAAATGTGATTCTAAGTGAAAGTGTAAAACTTGAAAATTTAATTGTATTAAGCTTCAGGACAGCTTATCACTTGTCCATGAGTCTGAACATTAATTATCAAGGTAGACGGTTCATTTCACTGAGAATTTGTGTTTTAAAAAGTGGCTTCTTTATTCCTCAATTGGTCCTCCAATTTCTTTGAAACTTATTTACGATGTTTTTTTGATGAAGCGAATAAACGAATATAGCTAAATAAAACATACTCCACGCTCAAGACCATGAGGCAGGCCGGGACTAAAAGGGTCAGGTCAAGTAGAAAAAGTGGAGGAAGTGTTATACATTGTGACCCACTGGGGTGGTTTACTTCAAATTGAGCCCCGTTATTTCTGAAGACATAGCAAATGTTAAAGTGTTTTTTAAAATTATGCACAGTACCCCAACTTATCTGACTTTCAGACCACGGTTGATAGGAAGCATGGACCACGTTTCTGTACTAACCAAGAATTATTTTTATTACAAGTCATTAGACTATAGCTAGAGGTAAACAGAAATAAACTATTGGTGTATAAATACTAACTAAAATGCTAATCCCAATTAGGACAACTGGTAAGTCAGTTTAGTAGTTTTGCTTCCTGATTCTGATATTGAGATGATCTTTATTTGGCTAGCTAGGCCTTTAGTGTTCAGTTATATTTATCAGAACGCTTCCATTGATTTGTAAGAGGCACAGAGTGGATGCTACACTTATAATGTCTCTGATTTATCAATTCAGAAGTCACAGCTGCTGCAGGAAATGTAACAAGCTTCTCCTAGTTTAAACTGAGCTTTTCACTGCAGTGAAGAGGCAGCTTCGACTGGAAAGAACAACTGCACACACACAGTCTTTCTCTTTCTCTGTGTGTCTGTAAATTGTTTCCAATTCTAACCTGCTCAGTTAGCTGAGAACCAGTTATATTTGTTTGCAAACAACTCCTCAACTTCTGAGCACATTGCAGAAATCCACAACCACAAAGAAACAAAGGTATCAAATTTCTTGTAGCTATCCTGGTCAATCCCTATTTTTAAAAATGTTTCTTTCTCATTGCAGTCCCCAGTTAGTGGTGTGGGAAGTTGGGGAGAAAGAACAAGTGAGTGAAGATATCGCAGGCAACCGTGAGAGTAAAACAGCATTAGCCTTGTGACTCATTAATTAAAGTCTTTAAAAAGAAATGGCTGTTCGAATATGGTTTGCAAAGTCTTCGCTCATATATTAAGAAAGGCTTTTCTGGCACAATTCTTGAATACTGGCAGCTGCAAAACTATACTACAGCATGAAACAATAACCTTGCAATAGAAAAAGAAAGGAGACAAAAAAGAATATTTTTTATAAAAGCACCTTTTACAGCACAAAAAAGTATTTTTGATATCTAGTTAATGTTGGAATATAGGAAATACAGCAGCTATTTAATCCACAGTAAGTCCCATCAAAAGAAACATGGCCATATTATCTGCTTTGGTATTGGTTAAGGGTAACTACTTGCCGGCACTACCCTAGCATTTTCAAAATAAAGCCACAGGATCGTTGGCCTCCATCCACGGGGAAAGATGGGGCATCAGTTGTCACCTAATCTAAAAGACATCAATTTCAACAGTGCAGGATTCTTTCAGTATTAAATGTTTCTGAGGGTTGGTCTAAATTTATGCTCAGGTCCCTGCACTAGGATTTTAACCCACAACTTTGAACTCGGAGGCCAGACCAAGTATTACCATTAAGCCAAGGCACCCTAATGGGGGAAAACTAAGGTAATGTATTAGCTAGAATTTAATGGTGCAATTACTCAATAATTTCATGAAATTTATTTAAAACTAGTTATGGAAACGTGAAGACAACAATGCTCGGGGACCGCTTTGCAGAACACCTACGCTCGGTTCGCAATAAACAACTGCACCTCCCAGTCGCGAACCATTTCAACTCCCCCTCCCATTCCTCAGACGACATGTCCATCCTGGGCCTCCTGCAGTGCCACAACGATGCCACCCGAAGGTTGCAGGAACAGCAACTCATATTCCGCTTGGGAACCCTGCAGCCCAATGGTATCAATGTGGATTTCACAAGCTTCAAAATCTCCCCTCCCCCTACCGCATCCCAAAACCAGTCCAGCTCGTCCCTGCCTCCCTAACCTGTTCTTCCTCCCACCTATCCCCTCCTCCCACCTCAAGCCACACCTCCATCTCCTACCGACTAACCTCATCCCGCCCCCTTGACCTGTCCGTCCTCCCTGGACTGACCTATCCCCTCCCTAACTCCCCACCTACACTCACCTTTACTGGCCCCATCCCCGCCTCTTCGACCTGTTTGTTTCCTCTCCACCTATCCGCTCCTCTATCCATCTTCTATCCGCCTCCCACTCTCTCCCTATTTATTTCAGAACCGCCTTCCCCTCCCCCTTTTCTGATGAAGGGTCGAGGCCCGAAACGTCAGCCTCTCTGCTCCTATGATGCTGCTTGACCTGCTGTGTTCATCCAGCCCTGCACCTTGTTGTCTCAATGTAATATACAATGCATGTGAACTGTGATAAATTGAAAATGTCATTACCAGGGTTATTTCAAGAAAAAAACTTTTACTGTTCTAAGTGGTAATTGCAATGAGCATCAGTCAACTGCAAGACTAAGATTTCTGCTATTACTGTTCCTCAAAATCAGGTTGTTTACACAATGCCCAGTAGATGGAACTATTTAGCCACTTATCTGATATAAATTTGATGCAGTTTCCAGGAGCACTATTTACTTGGACTGAACATTCAGGGGCCAACTATGTTTTCCAAGATGGTTCACCCAAAATTGGTATAGAGTTTCTATCATTATTATTTGTTCATCTCCCAAGACATAAAGAAGTGGTGATGGGAGATATGCTGTTAAATTGCACCAAGGCAGTATGGAACAGGTTTGTTAAATCAGCTGGTCATTTCTGTCAACTTTGTGTTAGTGACGACATTATCATGAACTCAGTGGATCCGAATTATTGTCTTTACTGAAAATAAATTTTTGCAGAAATACAAGGACAGGGAAAAGGACTGAGCTATATTTTGGTTAGCTCTTTCAAAAAAACTTATACAGGCATTTGACTGAATTGTTTCCTTCCAAGCTTTTTGATTGAAGTGTAACTAATTCCATAAAAATCAAGAAAATCAAAAATAACAATGCATTTTGTTAAAGTTTTTCATCAAGGAGTTCACCAATAACCTCCTGCTGTGCTGTTGTAAGATTTAACCACTGAGTACTAAATCACGCAAAGTAAGTCAAAAGGTAAATATAAACATAAAATTCGAACTCCTTTAGAACCAAGTGACAAGCAGGTTATGGTAACAAACTTGCCTCATATCCTGGGTAAGTGAGACCTTTAATGGGGGCATGGCAAGACAATCAAATTTCCTTCTCTCCTGGTCTTGGATGATTCCTAAGGATAAGAAGAAACTGTTTGTTTAAAAATATTTAAATCTTTGTTTCTGCTCCTCACATCCATTATCAGTTGGTATTGAGCAAATTGATATGCAACAAAGGAGTATGGTAGTGTAGTGTTGTTACTGTACTGGTAATCTAGAGGCCTGGATCAATAATCTAGAGAACTTGAGTTCATATCACTCCTTGCTGAGAATTAGATCAGTTTAAAAAACATGCATAAAATGCTTTCATCATATAAATTGAACATGAAGCTGTTGGATTGTTGCAAAAACACAACTAATGTTTTTAAGTTGAAGAAACTGATCATTCTTGCATGGAGGAGAAAAGGTATCACTTTACACATTTACTTACTTTTATCTTGTGAATATCTGAAAGATGATTATGGTTAAAGAGGAAATTTAGCTGATCTGAATTTATGCATCCTGAAAAATCCATCCACTGTAGCATCCACTTGTCTCTTAAATGATATTAGGTTCTTGACTTCATGACATTATCTGGAAATTTATTCCACAAGTAGACAATACTCAGCAAATTTCTATTCCTGTAGTTCATGTATATTCAAAGATTGAAAACTTCCTACCTGAGCTGTTGGTGCTTCCCAACACAGTTTCTTTTTTCTCCTTAGTCTCTTGGTAATGTAGCAAGTGAGACCACAGTGCTGATTTGCCCTATTAACAGAAAATACCACATAATGCAATAGAATACCTAACATTTATGTAATGTCTATTATGCAACTTGTGGTGCTCTGAACCCTGCTGCTACAAATCCTGATTAAAAAAAAACTATTACATTGTTCATAAACAATTGATACTTAGCAAGACAAGACCTCAACAATTCTCAAAGAGGAATCTCTGTACTAATGCTAACAATGCCCACTTCTGAAGTAACTGAATCTCACTCCCCTTATTCAATATTTCTAAACATTAGTGCTCATAACTTCCATTGTCATGAATCTTTTTCCAGGGTTACAGGGACCAATTAGGATACACCTGAGGAAACTTTGCAGCAGATATCTAACTCCAACTGAGGCATCCTAAATGTTATCCCTGATGTGAGTCATGTACAGGCCTCCTAGCAGTAGTCAGAATATGGGGAAGAAAATAAATTAGGAGATAGAAAAGGCATGTAAGAAAAGCACTATTACAATAATCATGGGGTCTTCAATATGCAGATAGACTGGGAAAATCAGGTTGGTCACGAAACTCAAGAATGAGAATTTGTGGAATGTCTATGATATGTTTTCAGAGAGGCTTGTGGTAAAACCCACTAGGGAACAGGCAATTCTGGATTTGGTGACGTGTATTAAGGTAGATTGATTAGGGAGCTTAAAGTGAAGAAACCTCAAGAGTGCAGTGACCATAATTGCTAGAATTCACCTTGCAGTTTGAGAAGGAGAAGCTGGAGTCAAATGAAACAGTATTAGAATTGAGTAAAGGTAACTACAAAGACACAAAAGAGGAACTGGCCAGAGCTGCTTGCAAGGTGGGCCTAGCGAGGAAGACAGTGGAGCAGCAATCGCAGGAGTTTCTGGTGGTAATTTGGGAGGCACAGCAGAAATTCATCCCAAGGAAGTAGAAACATACTGAGGGGAGGACAAGGCAACCATTGCTGACAAGGAAAGTCAGGGACTGTGTAAAAGAAAAAGAAAAAGCATACAATGTGGTGAAGACTTGTGGGAAGACAGAGGGTTGTGAAGCCTTTAAAAACCGGCAGTGTATAAGTGAAAAAGCAAGAAGGTGGGAAAAGATGAAATATGAGGGTAAGCTAGCTAGCAATATAAAAGAAGATTGAAAGACTTTTTTTTAGATATATAAAAGGTAGAAGAGGGGCACCAGTGGATATTGGACACTGGAAAATGAGACTGGAAAAGTAGTAATGAAGAATAAAGAAATGGGGGAGGAACTGAATGGGTTATTTTCATCTGTTTTCACAACAGAAGATACCAGCAGCAAAACAGAACTTTAAGAGCCAGAGGACAGGGGTGAGTGTAGTGGTCACCACAAGGAGAAAGTGCTAGGGAAGCTGAAAGATCTGAAGGTAGATAAATCATCTGGACTAGATGCAGTATACCTCAGAGTTCTGAAGGAGATAGGTAAGAAGATTGTCGAAGTGATGATCTTTCAGGAATCACTGGAGTCAGGGAAGGTTGCAGAGGACTGGAAGATGGCTAATGCAAAACCCCTGTTTAAGAAGGGATGAAGATAGAATGTGGGAAACTATAGGGATGAGATTGCAGAATACTTGGAAGTGTAAGGTAAAATAGAACTGAGTTAGCAGGGCTTTGTCAAAGGAGGTCATGCTTGACAAATCTGGCAGAATTATTTGAGGAAGTAACAACCAAGTTAGACAAAGGAGAGCCAATGGACATGATCTGTTTGGATTTCCAGAAGGCCTCTGATAAGGTGCTGCATAGGAGGCTGCTAAATAAGTTAACAGACCATGGTGTTAGGGGCAAGGAAGAGAACTCGCTGACTGGCAGAAGGCAGAGACTGGGGAAAAAGGGGTCTTTTTTAGGATGGCAACCAATGACTAGTGGAGTTCCACAAGGATCAGTATTGGGACCACAACTGTTCATGTTATACAGGAATGGTCTGGATGAAAGAACTGAGGACATTGTTGCTAACTTTGCAGATGATACAAAGATAGGTGCTGGGACAGGTAGTTTTGAGGAAATGGGGAGGCTGCAGAAGGACTTGGACAGGCCAGGAGAGTGGGCAAAAAAGTAGCAAATGGAATATAATATGGTAAAGTGTGAGGTTATGCACTTTGGTAGGAAGAATAGAGGTGTTGATGATATTTTAAATGAGTGAAGGCTTTGGAAATCTGAAGCACAAAGGGGCTAGAGAGTCCTAGTTCAGAATTCTCTTAAGGTTAACAAGTAGGCTCAATTGGCTGTTAGGAAGGCAAATGCAATGTCAACATTCAGTTCAAGAGAGCTATAATACAGCAACAGAGATGTACTGTTGAGGCTGTATAAGGCCCTGGGTCAGACCGCATTTGGAACATTGTGAGCAATTTTAGGCCCAGTATTTAAGGAAGAATGTTGGTATTGGAGGGGATCTAGAGGAGGTTTACAAGAATGATCCCAGGGATGAAAGGCTTGTTATATAAGGAGCAGTTGAGGACTCTGGATCTATACTTGGAGTTTAGAAGGATGAGGGGTGATCTCATTGAAACTTATATAACACTGAGACGACTGGTAGAGTGGATAGGGTGAAGATGTTTCCATTAGCATGGCAGACTAGGACGCCAGGGCACAGCCTCGTGTGAATGAATGACCTTTTAGAACTGAGATGAGGAGGAGCTTCTTCAGGCAAGGAGTGGTTAATCTGTGGAACTCATTGCCGCAGCAGGCTGTGGAAGCCAAGTCAATACGTGTATTTAAGACAGAGATAGATAGGATCTTGATTACTAAGGGGATCAAGAATTACGTGGAGAAGGCAGGAGAATGGGGTTCAGAAACATGTCAGCCATAATTGAATGGCATAGCAAATACAATGGGCCAAATGGCCTAATTCTGCTCCTCTCTCGCATAGTCTTATTGTTATTTTGACATTTCATTCTCAGGTTTAAAATTAGTCAGGAATAAAATTAAACACACTTGAAGAAAATACTAAATGTGTGACCAATTTTAATACATTCACAAGACAATAGAAATGATCTTAAAGTTGCTCCAAACTATCAAAAAATTGCAAAATACCACTTAAAAATAGACATTAAAATATTCAGCTCCTGCAAATTAACATGCTTCATATTATCCCAAAGATAAGCTTGAAACATCTGTTGTAATAAAACACATAAACATTGATTCACCATAAGCAGTGTCACAGAAGATGCACAGAGATTTCATGCATAAATGACTCCTGCTACTCAGTAAAATATTTTCGTCTCACTTAGAAATTATCACTGGTTAAAACTCAATCAATTGTTATTAATGTGATGTTTGTAGTTATATGGTAGCATAGCACTTAAGTTTGCTAAAAAAAATCATGGTTTGTCAATGTGCTTTTTAAGACTATAATGCATAGGAGCAGAAGTAGGTCATTTAGTCCATCGAGCCTGCTCTGCCATTTAATGAGATCATGGCTGATCTTATAATCCTCAAATGCACTTTGCTGCTTTTCCTCATCACCCTTGATTCCCTTATTAGCTTGATAGTGGGTGTGGAGGGATTTTCTTATGAGAAGAGATTGAGTGAGTAACTCATTGGAGTTTGGAAGAATGAAAGGAGACTTTATTGAAACATCTAAGTTTCTTGGAGGGCTTGGCAGGATTAATGCCAAGAGGTTGATTCCCCTTTTGAATAAAACTTGGTCTACCTCAGCCGTGAATATGCTTAGTGATCTGGCCTTGGTAGCCTTTGCTGGTAAATACTTACACAAATTAACAAATCTATGAGAAAGAAATTCTTCCTCATCCCTGTTTTAGATGGGTAACCCGCTACTTGACATTATACCCTCTGATCCTGGCTTCTCTCTCAAGGGGAAACAACCTCTCAGCATTAATCCTGTCAAATCTTCTAAGAATCTTATATGTTTCCATTAGGTCTCCCCTCATTCTTCTAAATTCCAATGAGTTAGCCACTCAACATCTCCTCATAAGAAAATTCCTACCCAGAATCAAGGTAATGAAACTTCTCTGAATTGCTCCAATGTCTGCATATCTTTCCTTAGATAATGGGACCAAAACTAGTTACAGTATTCCCCGTGTAGTATGATTACTGCCCCGTATAGTTCAGAAAGGCCTCCCTATTTTTAGGCTCCATTCCTTTTGAAATAAAAGCCAATAGTTCATTTGCCTTCCCTATTGCCTACTGAACTTAGATCCTAGCTTTTTGTGATGCATCTTACACTCATCAGGACAATTTACAAGAATGATCAAAGTAAACGGAAAGCAACATTTATACTTTTGGAGAGGAGATTGCTGATTGTTTGCATTTGGTCTCTGATTGGTAGAGATATAGCCGTGGAGAAATGCACCAGTTAGACTGTCAGTTAATTTTCAAACTTGATTTCAATTTTAAACAAGACAGGTTGATCAAAGTATTGCCGTGAGAAACAAACCAGATGCTCCTTATAAGCTGTTGTGTTGCGTTAAAACAGGCACAATATTTGTCAATATTCTGTCTAGAAAGAACAGGACCCTATGTATTATATGTGGCCTCCAGTACACACAAGTGCACCATTCTGCAAGCCCAACTAACAATCCTAAATTTATCAGCATCATTCTTCACACACTCAGGATTATATAGCAAATATTGCCCAATTGTGGAATCATATCTAATGTTGGAAACAAATTATGAACAGGCCCAAGGCTATCACTTTTGTTTGTGAAATGTGTCTGTTCCACCTCAGGTTACATTGGAAGAGTAAGCTATCTCAAACATTTGAGAAACTAGCTGTTTCACGCTGTTACTTTTATGATGATGCTGTGGCTTTAAGAGGCTATTTTGTCCTAGTTTTTCATTTGAAGCAAGGTTGTAAGGCAGAGGAGTGGAGCAGTCTACCTGAAGCACCAGAGTAAACAGCTTGTGAGGTCTTGGATTTTTTTTGAAGTTGGAACAACAGGACCCACTTGGATGGGTGTGGCCACCTCTCACGATGTCTAGTGTTTTTTTTAGTTTTTATGTTTAGCTTTAAGCAGTTGCTGCTGTGGGCTTGAAGAAGTG